GCCTATAAGCAGTCTGTAGCAGAGGTGGGACCAAGTCATTGTTTTGCAAGTCCGAGTCAAGTCTCAAGTCTTTGCGCTCAAGTCCGAGTCAAGTCTCAAGTCTTTGTGCTCAAGTCCAAGTCAAGTCTCAAGTCAGGATGGGAAAGTTCAAGTCAAGTCCAAGTCCTAAACTTTGACAAAACGAGTCTTAAACAAGTCATTATGTGCTTTTCAACAAATGTAATGACATCGATCAACAGAATAATACTTAATAATCAAACTGCTCTTTATTAGTCACATTAATAATTTAATAATCCATTTTCTCTCTGCTGGTAAAGTAACGTGTTTGTCTTCTATTGTAAGAGGGATCAGTAAGGTAAGGCTACCATGACGGTTTGATTCAGAAGGAGTTTAATGTATAAGATCCCTGATGTTGAGGTGACCAGAATGTTTATTTCCACTGTGTACAGCATGTTATAAGGGACCCACAATCTATCTTTATGCAAGGGATAATGTGCAGCGAGGCGTCTCTATGGGGAAAAGAACACCTGAATCTAGATCCCTCTGCAGGTGGTACTTTAACTATATTTTGATGCTAATACTTTTGTACTTTTACTTGTAACATTTTGAATGCAGGACTTTTTATTGTAACCGAGTATTCCTACACTCAGGTACTTTTACTCAAGTACAAGATCTGAACTTCTCCCACCTCTGGCAATAAATCCTGAGTGGTTACCAAAAAAAAAAACCCTGCTCTGAAGGTTATTTTCATTTTACAAATCCTGCACTCAGCTTTGCTTTCTCCAATATCATTGAAATGCAGCCAGATGCTGCTTCTTTTTTCGGTTTTCGCAAATTTCTAGACTTTTTCCGACGCACTTGCATTTAAATCCGGCTCCCCGTGGCTCTGTAGCTGGCCTGTACCACTACACCTGCTGTCTTTGGAGCGTCTGCCCCCCACCCTTCTTTCACATAATGGTATGATCCTAGTGTGTCCTCGCATATGATTGGCCGCATGGTGGCTCAGCAAAATAAAGTCCCGCCCCTGCCTGCACGGATTCTCAGCAAGAGTTGCAGCGGCTGAAGATTCTGCTCTCCTAATGGCAGCTCGCGATCGGCGTGTTGGAGACCCCTGAATTAAATTATCAAGTCACCTCAAGTCAGAAGGCTCAAGTCCAAGTCAAGTCCCGAGTCATTGGTGTTCAAGTCCAAGTCGAGTCGCAAGTCTTTTGTGATGTTGTCAAGTCGAGTCCAAAGTCATCAAATTGGTAACTCGAGTCTGACTCGAGTCCAAGTCATGTGACTCGAGTCCACACCTCTGGTCTGTAGTAACCCAATTTTGGCTAACCATGGCTTTCCACTCTATTTCATTTATACTCTAATTCTTGTACTTTAAACATCTCGGTTTCTTTAGCTTCAACATTTCAACATAAGATATGTGCATGATTGGAACTGTTAGCTAGCTAATTGATCCAACTTCTAACAATTGTTTTACCGTCGTCTTAAAATGTCAAACTCTCTGCAACATATAATAAATAGGCCTACAATTCAGTTATATAAAGGTATTAATAAATGTACATTCAACATGATGGTTGACATGGTATGTAAAGTGTATAAATAGCTCCATAAGTAGGCCTTTTATCAGTTTTTATAGATATTCAAGATATTTCATTTCAAGAAAATCACTAATGTTAATGCTAGCTAGCGTTAGCCATATCGGTTAACTAGCATGTGTTGAATAACCTTTGGTCAATAGGATGTGTTTGAGTCCCAGAGGTATGCTACACTTCTGTTATTCTACCAGACCTGCTGTGAGAAAACAGCGAGTTCCTGTACTGTGTAAATAAGATAGCCCTGCTTTTTTCTCCAAAAATAGATATTTCACAGAAGTTCTGTAGACTAATTTACCCCGCAGTATGTCTCTATAAATAACCATTGAGGACGCCATATTGGTACCAAGATATAGAAGCTAGAAGGTTAATGTAGGATCACAGGAACAAGTGCACTCCCCCCTCTTTCCAATATTTCCTCAACTTCACTCTCTCCAAACTAAAATAGCTTTAAAAATCTCTACAAGAAGCTCTGAGTGCTGCACAAAAGCCACACAATGCATTCGGTACTTGGATCTGAATGAAGTCTGAGTCAATCATGGGTATACAGTGAAAAGGAGGAAACAGATGTGGAAGCTGGAGATTAGATTCTGCTCTCGTGTGCAGCTCCGCTCTCCGCCTGCTGATTGTGACCCAACCACTGACTACCTCACCCATAGTCCAGCTCTACATGGCAAAAACTGCTGAATGCAATCATGATATTGCTCATATAATCAATTGACATTTAGTATGGACTGTTAGGCTTAGCAACAAATGAGGTTGGCCAGCATGGCAAGCATGTCTACTGATGTTTTGCCCATATGGTCAAAGGCAGTGATAATGCCATCGTGAGGAATAACTTAAAAAGGTAAAAGAAAACTTTGGTATTCAGCGCTGGGACAAATGTAGACACAGGGAGAGCTCTAAGCTACTGTATGAGCCTCGTCATAGGCCCAGATAAGGCTGGGATCATATTATGATGGCTAAACCATGACTAAAAGCTTAATATATCACCAGTATCTTATTTTGTGATGAGTCGTTGGTCATGCCGTGGACGTGGAGATATAAATAAATCTGTACTAATGTGTTCTAATTCAATCTCTGTGGGAAACACTAACTGTAAGCCAAACGCAGTAACACACCATGGACAGTGTGCGTGTTCGTGTGCGTGTGCGTGTGTGCGTGTGTGTTTATGAGTGCCCTTGCTGGACCCGAGTGTCATCCTCCATTGCCCATATGACACCAAGTGGCCTGCTGGCAATAGTGTAAAATGTAACACACCGACTAGGAATAAAAAAAGATGCGTGTCCCTGGCATTATGAGTATATACTTTTTTTGTTTTTACCGCTGCATGTCTCTTTAGCGACATACACATATAACATTTTTCTTCTTTTGCCCTTGTTGTTTGATATTCTGGTTGATTAAATTAGGATACCATGCCACTGTTTTATGGTTTAAGGCGTATAAGTGTAGCTTTGCTCTCGAGCCACAAACAAGGCTAGACTAGGTTAACCATAATGGACTCTAATGTGTGTTTGAGAATGATGAGACATGGCCTAGTTTGGACGTGCACTGCCCCCCCGGAGGTGCCATTATTTGTGACTCAATCCTACAAACCTTTTACTGGGAAATTAAGGAGCACCAGAGTGAAGTCTTACTCCTCACCCTTTAACCATCTGCTGGCGGGATGAACCCCAGCAAAAGAACAACTCATATTATCATTTAAACCCTTAATCCCTAGGCCGCAAAAACTCCTATTAGCAAGCAGAAAGCAGATATCCTAATACATCTATTTGAGACCAGTACTTGTAAATCAGGCCATTTGTTTATGCAAAGCCCCAGACACTACACCAAGGAGTGCTGGGACTTTTAAAGCTACAATGCATCCTACAGACGCCACCCACAAACACCATATGTTTCCTTCAGTCTCTGTCCTTGACCTGAGTGTGCGCAAAACCACTTAGGGTGCAGCAGCTTAAGCATTTTCGTAGTCCTGCTTCGTAGTCCTGCTTTTTTCATTCAGTATCAAATCATCCAATTTCATTCAGTATCCAATCCAATCCTTGTGCTTGTGATACTGATGGATGGATCTTTGTCAAACAGCAATACATTATTTAATGGTACAGATCAACAACAGCTGTTCATTGGGAACAAATGAGGTACAAATGAGTTGATTAGTGTGCGAATACAGTGACACATCATCCACATTAGCCACAGCGATATAGGTTTCTTCAAAGGTTTTTTTGGCAGACAACCAATCTCTACAAAAGGCTAAAGGTTGGATGATCTGTTTCAACACTCATCAGTCCAGGTCAGAGGTTTCCAAAATGATTTCCCAACCCCCTGTGGGCTCCTTGCAGATGTGAGATCGAGTTGATAATTTCATTGGTAACGCATTCACCTAGGGGTTAGCAGCACTGGGGGAGAATGCATGTGGGAATGATGATTCAGACCAGATACATCACGCTCTGATGCTATCTGCCTACAGCCGCTCTGTATTAACATTATAACACTAGCTTCCCTTTTCACCAGATGCAGGGGACAATGATGCTGGTTGACTGTAACCATCCAGATGGTGTGGATGTCACTTGCTTGTCACAATATTTACTTAAAGTGACTGATTACTAATATACTAGGTAAAACAAATCAAATTGAAAAAGCACTTGGCCAATTTGAAGCTAATGTTCTATCAATAGTTTTGCTGTTTTGAGTTTCCATCCTCAAGGTTGCACTTTTAATAAGTTATTTTGTCGTGTAAGCTTAATATAATGTATTGCAATATAGCTTTTGAGTGAGTAAGGACCTGTTGGGCTTGGTCATAGGTTACCCATAATCCTGGTTTACTCCAAAGAGAAACCTACATTATTAGGTGAGGCATAGTGGTGGATGCAATGAAATCCTAGCTGTACAGGACTCCACTTTGGGAACCACAGCCTCACACTGATTGTAATGCCCTTTAACAGGTTGTATGACACTGTTGATATCCCAGCTGAGTGAGCATGAATTAAACACAACCGCCTGCTGGCCCAATGCAACCATTTTAATTGTATCAACAACCGCCTGCGGCATATCTTGAATGGGAAGTGTGTGGTGTGTGTCTGCGGCCTAAACTGTGGTCTCCTGCACGATTATAGCGTTGTTAAACTTGCATGGCTTATTGGAAGTTCGCCTGCAGGTATTAGGGAAGGCTTTGGGTGAATAGTCTGACTGAGGCTGCACAGGGAAGGCTGCTCTTTGCAAACCAGTTCCAGATACCCCGATTGGGATAGACACACTCCTATAAAATCACTTCTTCTACACAAGTGACTGAATCCACCCAACTTCGAGCAGCAAATCCACTCTTTTTCTGTGTAATGTGGGTGGCACCCACACACAGTAAAGGGAAAATCTCCGGCATGCAACGAATGGGAACAAGAAGCGATGCAAACTTACGTGAAAACGAAGAATAAAGTGGTCGATCCCACCAGGAGAGTGGCAGCAGTGGATACTGGGATGTATTTGGTGGGTTTAAATCTCTTTCCAGCGCTGTTGGGCATTCTGTAATTTCCACATTCCTCAATTATTTATTCCGATTGGAGTCGCATGTAGAGAAATAAGATCCAGTGTGCAGTGTGTGGGGCTTTTCTGAGGCTAATAAAAGGTACAACCGGTCCGTGTTTGCTGTCGGTGAAGCCGCATAGATCCTCCGATAGAGAGGCAGGAATACACAGAGAGCTCACTGAAAGCCTGGAAATCCCACCCTCACAATCCAGCCCCCTGGTGAGGTCACTGAACCGCTTGGAAAGGTGGAGCCTCTGTGCAAACCCTGCAAGTGTCCTCACAAGAAACAGATCCGGACAATAATGTTGATTAGCATGCACTTGGTACTAATGCACAGTCACTGTCCACCAAATTATTTTTGCAGATTTAAAAAAAATACTATTCACGCAGCTCACCGGCTCTTTAAATCTTGCAGTACATTAATTAATTCATTATAAAAAAAGCTCTGAAAGTTTAACAAGACTCACAGTTTAGTGTCAGTGGAGCTGCTCTGCAAACTGTTTTTTTTATTGGAAGAGAGCTACACCAAACTTCATTTAGAAACTCGCAGTTTAATTTTAATTGGTTTACACCCACGCGTACAAACACATGCCACCCAGGAATAATTGCTTTTACAAAGAGCCGAATTCCACTCTTAAGTTCGGTATAGTTATTGTATACTAAAAGTAATGTATTTAAGTGAAATTTTAAGTTGCAAACGGTATGACTTAACACATGCCAGAGTCGCCTATCACTAACATGGGTGTTAGAAAACAGGGCCACAATAAAGCTTTTGCATGAGTTGAGATTGTACAGAAATTAGGATGTATGTTGTTTTGTAAGACTTTTTTCTTCAGAAACTCATTAATTTTGCCCCAATTGATTGTTGCATCTTGTATGAAGTTTATAGAATAATCAGGGTTACTCCGCTGCAGTTAGCTTTGTGGATTTAGGGATAAGAGCGCCCTCAAGTGGCAGATGTTGGGATTTATGCCACTGTTTTGGATGGAGAAGATAAAGCGGAAGTCGTCATCATTGCGGAAAGAGGCAACTTTTTTTATAATTTTTTTAATTTTTATAATTTTATATATATATAATTATTTCATTTTTTTTGTTATGTACTGTTATTCCAACTTTAATATAAACTGTAATTAAAGCTCAAAGGTGAAAAAGAAAGAGGGGCAGAAGAAGAAAGATCTGGATAGATAGATAGATAGATAGATATAGATATAGATAGATAGATAGATAGATATAGATAGATAGATCGATAGATACAGATAGATATAGATAGATAGATATAGATAGATAGATATATAGATAGATACAGATAGATAGATAGATAGATAGATAGATATATAGATAGATAGATAGATAGATAGATAGATAGGCTAGATAGATATTTGAAAACTCTACAATAGACAATTTCACTAAGCACCAGATATGTATAGAAATATACTACAGAAACATGACACGACACAGAAGAACAAGAAGAACAAGAATTACATCTATGAATTTTATTTTCAGGGAAAGTGTATTATTGTGTTCACACCCTGTGTTTCTATTAATTTGTATTCATTTATTATAATTATTCGATAAAGGGACAGATAATTATTGTCCACTCCAGCACAGTAGGTGGCGGTAATGCACCTTAACTCTGGTCGCTGCCGCCATAAAACCAACGAAGAAGAAGCTTGTTGGACTGTCTAGATTAGCTTTGCTTTTCTCTTGAGCTGCTGACAGCATTATTTTTAGTTTAATAGCTTAAAAAACTGCCATCTGATTCAAACTGTGGCACAGAAAGGGCGTTTTTGTTTCAGTTGCTGGATTGGAATCACCAAATAAAACACAAAATAATCAAAAGCGAGGGAGAAGACTGCGTTACCTTTCTGTAACGGTAACGCAGATTAAGCTAATCAGCTAGCAACAGTTTGCTCTATTCTCTCAGGATGTCGTACAGGAAGACTTTAAAACTTGTGTGCGGGCTGGCTGGAGGATCTGCCGTCTTGGTGTTCGCTGCAGCCACCGCAGACTCCCGGGGATTGTTCGGTGATCTCCGGGGAGGAGAGGTGGGTCGCTGGTCCAGACTGCCCGTCCTGAGAGCTGCGCAGCCGGCGTGGACTCCTGCCAACCACACGCCGAGCCCCACCGGACACTCCTGGGACTTTAACTGGGATAAGTACGTGGTGCTATATTTGCTGTGTGTTTTTCACATAGTATTGATAATTCAGTTTAATTGACAGATCATCAACATTATAATGATAAAGAGAAAGGAAATAGAAACTGAAACAAGAAATAAATTGTACACAGGAAAAGGGAATCTGGTTTAAACAAGTCAATAAATGCATGTAGTTAATACTAACTCTTTATTTGGAGTAAAGAAATGTAGGGAAGTAAAAGTAGTAGTGGAAAGAAGAAGGAGTATGCTGCACAGGGAAGGTAGCCAGACATGTAAACACTGAAGTAGAAAACAAGATACCTTGAAGCTGTACTTAAATATAGTACTTTAATTCATCTACTTCGTTTCTTTACACCACTGACACTTAGGATAGTGAGAGGCTATGATTCATTATGTTTCCTGCTGCAATTCTCACGCCTGGGACTTTAACTGGGAGAAGTACGTGATGCTTTATTTACTGTGCATTTTTTTGGAGTCACATAGTATTGATAATACAGTTTAATTGACTGATATTTAATAAAGAGAACGAAAAACTGAATAGTACACAGGAAATAGGAATCTGGTATAAAAAAGTAAATAAGGCTTATTTTAATTCATACTAGTTCTTTATTTGGAGTAAATAAAAGTAGTAGTGGAAAGAAGAAGGACAACGTAGCCAAACATGTAAATACTCAAGTAAAGCACGAGTACCTTGAAGCTGTACTTAAATATAGTACTTGAGTGTATCTTGTTAGTTACTTTACACCTCTGACACTTAGGATAGTGAGAGGCTGAGAGTGATTCCTTATTCTTCCTGCTACAATTTTTCCCAATTAGTCAACTGTGAATAGCACATTTTTCAAATTGATTCTGCTTATCGTCTTCTCAAAGTACCATGTTTGGAAATTCTCAGTGTCCTACTGCTCATTATCTTAGATCACGTCAACACAGTTCACAATCCCTCAAGTTAACCTCGTCCGACAAAGCCTCTTTAATCCCAGGATGACCTCCTCTCTTCTCTGCAGGAGAGACCCGTCTACACTGACCAATGGGAAGAAGAAGGAGAGCTCCACTGAAGACCCCAGCTCCGAGCAGGACAACGGGAAACCCAAAGCCACGAGGAACATCCTCCTCATCCGACACTCGCAGTACAACCTGAGCGGCCTCAGCGACAAGGAGAGGATCCTCACTCCTTTAGGTGCTCGTTCTTCACCTTTGGATAAGATCATAATAATAATAATAATACGTTTATTTATTATAGCACCTTTCACAGAAATATAATTCACAAGGGGCTTCACAAGAAAGAACACAAGTTAAAATGAAGACCACAGAAACATGAATACAATAACAACATGAGGCAGAAATGTACAGTCAACATAAAAACAAAACACAGACCACGTGGAGTCCTGAAAGGAACAAACATGAGAACAGAACACATCACACACATTTCAAGTAGAAACAAAAGCAGGTAGGCTGTGGCTCAGTGGGATAAATTAGTGCGCTGAACTTTGAATCAGGGGGGTAGCAAGTTCGAGTCCCACTGCAGTCAGCATGTCGTTGTGTAGCTGGACAAGACACTTCACCTCAAATTGCTCCTGTGGGGATTGTCCACAGTATTGAATGTATGCAAGTCGCTTTGGATAAAAGCGTCTAACAAGTGACATGTAATGTAATGTAAAAAGATAGGTCTTCAGTAGTTAAAGGTGGGGTAGGTAATTTTGGAGAAACCAGCTAGAGTGCGCTAGAATTTGAAAATACACAACCGGAAGAAATCTGCTACTTCCTTACAGAGCCCCTCCTCCAACACACAAGAACGCGCACATGACCAATGAGGGCACGAGATAAGTTTGTGCACAGATGGAAGGCTGACAGGCAGGTAGGCCATCCAGTTATTTTAGCCGGGCCGGCTAAAATGATTGGTCGTGCTTTTTACAGTATTACGGCTTCCACAGATGAACATTTTTTATGGATTTTTTGTCAAAGCACTTCAGATATTCATTGCTATCGGGATGTTAAGAGCATTCCATGGAATATAACAAAAAGTGTATCTCGAGCCGGTTTCTCAAACTTACCTACCCTACCTTTAATAAGAGAAGATAAGAAGTACTTTATTCATCCCAAATTGGGACATTTTTGCGTTGCAGCAGCATAAAAAGACAAGGCATTGTGAATAAGAGAAATAAAAAAACTAGAAATAAACAATCCAAAATGTAAATATCTCAAATAGAAATAAAAAAGCATAATTACAAATATACATGTGGAAATATACATTTACAGTAACAACATATAAAGCAGGATATTATATATACATGAATTGTGCAAGGAATGGATGATTACATATTAGATAGAAAATGTACATTGGGAGCTTAAGTCCAGTTATCAAGAGAAGCTATGGAGCAGAGAGTTCTCTTCCAGCCAGAGGAGATTTGTTATAAAGTGAGCTTGCAGTCGGCAGGAATGTTTTCCTGTATTGGTCCTTGTGATGTTTAGAAATATCTTAGATGTGTGCTGTTCTGTCTCTGATAGTCTAACAGCGTGTATCCACTGTAGCACACTACTAATCAATCAATCAATCAATCAACAACTTTATTAATCCTGCAAGGGGCAATTGGTTATGAGCAGCTTATGTCATGTACACAGGCAGGAACATACAGGAAGAAAGCACCCCTGAACCAATTTACACGCTAAATAGTTCATAGCAACACAATAATAAATCAATAAATAATCAAGTTAAAAAGCCTTTCAAGAATTTAAAAGTTTGAGTGCAGAGGGGATGAATGATTTTGAAAATCGATTGGTCCTTTTGTCCATTAAGCACTATAATCTCTGTTTGCAAGTCAGCTGTCGAACACAAATGGTTCC